TCATAAATATATTGCGGATGTCTTTGAAAACAATGGGCCTAGCACTTTTGAGCCTAACCCTACCCTTGTAAAATTTTTTGTGAAGTTCGTATGTAATAACCCTAACCTGTGTTGTAAGCTGAAAAAATATTACAAAATATACACTTCAATATTATAAGTAAAATTGAAAAAATCGCATGCTTTAAAAAATACGAAAAAATGAAAAAAAAAGTAACAAAACATTAACATCATTATTGACATCTTTTTATGCGATTTTTTTAGATTTTATTCTTTTATGCCAAGAGGGCATTCTGAATTGACAAAATTTGTCAAAGTCGGTGCAGACATTCTTGAGATGTAAGAATTCAAGCTAACATCCCTTTCCTTTGTTTATACACATTGTATATATTTCGCTATATATATATATATATATATATATATATATATATATATATATATATATATATATATATATATATATATATATATATATATATATATATATATATATAGCCACTTTTGTATATATATATATATATATATATATATATTTATATATATATATATATATATATATATATTTATATATATATATATATATATATATATATATATATATATATATATATATATATATATATATATATATATATATATATATATATATATATATATATATACGACATATTTACGATATATTTACTATCGGCATCTATGTAGCGGTCATCTATGTAGCCCCAAGCTAGCGGAATTTAGATTGGTCTATAATTGCAACCTGCAGAGCAACTGCAAAATGATGATCTTTTTTTTTGTTTTTGATCCATTTCTTATGTAGGAAACCAATATTTCGAGTTGTTACATAATTGTTGGCCCAAAATCCAAATCCAAACATTCTCTATTTCTATGAAATTCATAGAAATATAGGGATGTGTAAATTTTAAACCAAGTAAGATGCGTCCTTCCAGGGTTCTCATGCCCGCCAACCAGATAGACAGACAGGGAAATTGCCGCATATTGTGTAATGGAAATAAGCATTAGGGAGCCACTTTTGTAGAGAAATTTAGGATATCCATTTTTTTTTTCATCAGGTTTTCGCTAAGTCTTACCATGTTCAAGAAATAAGCTCATTTATTGCAAAAATTAGATAGCCGGTTGTCTTTTAATGCTTTAGCTGCCCATCAAAAATGATTTTTGCGGGAAATTGTTCGACGAGTCCCCTGTTTGTAGAAAACTCAAATGTGTGACTGTGACAGCCAGCCCTAACATATTAAAATAAACATTTCTTCGTTGCTTTTAGCTTCAAATCTAATTTGTTTGAATTTTGAGAATAAATGACACACAGAAACTATTAAAACTAAAAATAATGAAAATACGTCAGAACAGTTATTATTTTTTTCTAACAACCAAAAGTTCCAAGCTGAAGTAAAAGAATAACAACCGCAATAACATTGAAACCACAAAACACTTTATGTGACAATCGTGTGCACTTGATTCATGTGCCACAACTGGCATCGTTACTATCATTACCATAATTCGTGGGCCTGCTAACTCTTTCCCCCGAAAAGTAAAAGAATATTCTTCATGGTATGAGAACAACAAAGACTAAAGAAAAACAGGTGAGTATGTTAATGAGTGCGAGAAAATGTCAGGTGCTTAGTGCTTAAGTGGTGGTAGTTGTTGTGGCGGTTGTGTTAGCAACAACAATGACGACAAAATTATACGAATTTGTAGCACACGACACGATCTTGTACAGACATACGCACATAATGATGGCGACACCGAAAAGCCTTAACCCTCCTTTACACATGAATGGCTGTGCAAGAATGTTAAATTGTAGGCCACAACTGAAATGTGTAGAGAGAAATGTGTAGAGAGAAAAACGCAACATGCTTGCAAACAAAAATCCAATGAAAAGCTAAAAGGAAAGGGAAAATGTACAACTTTTATGCAAAAAAGCTTTACTTTAAGCTTAAAGATAAAAACAGTCAAGGACTTGTATTCATAAAATGCCGGTACATGGTGGCAAGAGTTAATAACATTCATGACGAGAAATAAACAGAGATGGAGAGAGAGAGCGAGAGACAGGAAATAAAAGAGAGGAAGTTAGCGTTTGTGCACAAGGATATAAAGAGACTATTTCTCTTAAATATCTAAAAGAAGGTGATATTACTCTCTTATTTTTTCATGGTTGTACGGCATATATTAATAAACTATAGAAACAATTAATAATTAATTACTAAAATAGAAGAAAAATACGACTAATTATCTGTTTATCGAGGTGTCAGTAGTGAACATAAGAGAACGAATGCAAGAGAAAGCACCGAACAACATGAAGTAGGTTGATGAAATTTTACTCAAATGCATATTATGTCTGCAGGACTTTTGGTATTGAAAATGGACCATGTAGGTCCACGTTTTGGTATAGCCCCCATATAATGGCACGTCCCGATTCCGGCATTATTCACCGGAAATGTTTCAAATTTGCTATTTGAAGTTCGTAATGGATACTACAGTCTAAGATACTACAGTCGTATAGCCCTCATACCGTTATATGGGGGTAGCGCGATTTCGTGGACGATTCTCTTCTAGAGGGTAAATTTTGTATGCATGCGTTATCTTGGATATTAGCATCAATGCAAAGGTCAGAACAGACACTTAAATATATAAGTGATTTGTATTTATTTTGAACAAAAAATATTCGCGGTTTAGTGGGAATTTTCGTATTTTCTGCGTAAAACTTATGCGTATGCGTTTCGCATCGAAATACCGAAGGTACCGATATATGGGGTACCAATGTTACCAGATTGCCTATATACGTAAAATCAAGGAATTCGATGGAATCTATACCAAAAATTGTGAAAGAGGATGGAATTTACCCTTAACTTGCTTAAAAAAATAAACTTTTGTCGAAAATTACAATCCTAAACCATGAAAACGGGAGATTTTTTGGATTGACTGCTGTTGCAAGCCAGCAATTTTAATAAAGGTTAGGTTTTTCCAAAAAGAAGAGTTGCAGGATAAAATTTATATGGCGTAGTTTTGTATATTATTGTATTTTTGTAGGGTATAAACCTACACCACAAGGTGGTCAGGGTATTATGTCTTTGTGCATTTATTTGTATCAGGCAAAAAGAAACGAGATAGACCCATAGTTCCTTTCGATGATCTGCACAGAATAACATTCTGAGCTGATTTATGCATGTCCGTCCGTCCGTCTGTCTGTCCGTCCGTCTGTCCATATATTTGTGTAAACAAAGTACAGTTCGCATTTATTGTTTGGCCCAAGGACGAACCCTATTGAAATTGGAGATAATCGGTAAAAATTTAGATATAGCTCCCATATATATCTTCGTCCGATTTGCTTTTTATTGTGCACCAAACGTGTAACATCAGACCAAATTGTATGGAATTTTGCACATACACCCAAATTAGGCCTGAAAATAAGTATACCAAATTTGATCGAAATCGGTTCAGATATAGCTTTAGCTCCCATATATGTTGTTCATCCGATTTGTTATTTTTGCCCTCCGCAGCCGTAATATGCACTCTGTAACAACAATATTTGGGGAAATATATCAAATGCAGCTCAGAAATGTCTTTGCCATTTTATCGAGATCGGTTCAGATTTAGATATATATATATATATATCTATCTATATATATCTTTATCCGATTTTAAATTAATTGTGCACCAAATGGGCAATACAAGTCCGAATTTAAAAGATACAAATGCTTCGGCATATTTAGCCCTTTGAACTTTAAATTATAATTATAATCACAGCGTGTATGCTTGAATTCTCCCATAAAAACTTTTAATTGCTATGCGGAGCTCTACTAAATTAGCAAAGTGCTGTAGGGTATCATAAAGTCGGCCCCGCCAGACTTTAAGACTTCTTTACTGGTTATTTATACATTTAACACTAAAACTATGGGCCAGCAATGCGATCCGGTTCAGTTGGTTTCATTTTAGTCATAATTTTCAAATGTAATTACCGACAATTTTCCGTTTTAAGTAACGAGTCACTGAAACTTTCTGCTGTAGTTATTTGAAAAATCTAACGATACTTTAAAATTTAAACCGTTAACCATGCAGACTTAAAAATACATCCTCTATTAATATAAACAGTATAAGCATCTATGTCCTTCCATGAACTTTGCCGTAATAACCAACTCAACTTTTTCCATATTTGACTATGTCAGCCATGACTTAGCGAAGGGTTATTACTCTCACATAAAGCTCTTTCACAGTTTTATTATTTTTTTTAGCTTTTGTTCTCAGTTCGACTGAGAAAATTTCCATAATGGGAATTCCTATATATTTTATGGCAGACATCTCTTTTAAACGTAGAAAAGAGCTTTTGTAAGATTCTAAGAGAGAGAAAGTGTAGCAGCAATAAAGTTAAGAGAGAATAAAGCTTGACAGTGCCAGGTGTAAACAAAAAATAAAACAATAAAATTTACAACTTTAAATGTGGACCATGTAACCAAGGACATCGGTGTAAATGTCATTGAAAGTGATAAGAGAGAAACAAGAGAGAATACGACATTTTACAAGAACAAATGGGAGCAAAAAATGTGCGCAAACAAGGCGTTGAGATATGTACGTGTATTTGCATAAAAAAATGTAAGGCAAGGAATTTGAAAGCTTTCACCCACATTTTGTGCTGGCGACAGCTCAAAGACAAAAATTTAAATTGAGACAAATTTCTGCCATTAGTTATACGAAACTGGAAGGATGGCTATACAAAAGTGGTGGTTACTTACGATTTTAGTAATTTTAGCTAGGTTAGGGAGGAATAAATTTGCCGATAGCTTAGGGCCAGCTAGCAAGGAATGACCTGCAAAAAACACCTGCTGGAATCTGGAACTTTGGAAGGTAAATGTCACATGTAAATAGGAGACAAGGAAAGCTTTTTTCCTTAAAGCTACTGTCATACTAAAGCTCTGAAGCTCTCTTCCGTATGGAACTTGTTTCAAGGGTGGCGCACACGATTGCAGAGAGCCATGGCAAATAAGACTCTTAAACGCTGTTGGAGCCCCACATCGACAAAAGGTGGTTGAAACCAAACAAACTTATTTCTGTGAATTCAGTCATGGAGTTCCAGTCGTCGGGTCAATTTGGAACATAACATAAAAACGCTTAAAAACGGAATACTTGTGTTCGCAGCGTGCCGCGTGTAGCAATCGCATAAACAAGTGAAATTACAAAAAAAAAAAGGAAAGAAAAGAAAAAAAATAAGAAGAAGAGCAAAAGATGAAAATAAAAGGATAACAGAAAATCCCATGCGAAAAAAAGAATAAAATATCATTTAAATGAGAAATAAATTCGAAAGCAATAAAAAAAGTTGAAAAAAAGAAAATTGTGAAAATACCAAAAAGTCAAATTGAAGGCCAAAGGATTTGCCATAACAACAACAGCAGCAGCAACATAATCCAGAAAATGTTAAATAAAATTTCCATTAAAACGAAAAATTCATCTCAAATTTCTTATGCGGTGCGTGTCCTTTTCTTGGATATGGAATTTATGCTAATTCTTGATTTATTTTTTCGTCTTCTCTTTCGTTTCAAGTTCTTTATGGATTTCCGTTTTTCTTAGGTTTCGTTTTTATGTTGTTGTGTTTGTTGTTGTTGTTCTGTTGATTTCTTAAGTTACTTGAATGGTTGGTTTCTTCTGCCGCTGCTACTGCGGCTGCTATCGCTGGCGCTTCTGCTGTAATCGTTTTTGTTTGAGGGTGTTAGTTTCAGGATTAGAGAGCAGAGCTCAAGGGTGCGGGCGAAGAGACAAACGAAACGAAAAAAAAAAAAAACAAATTCAAACTCATTCTCCCACCCACCCCCTTAAGGGAATGGAAAAATGTGCGTCTAAGGTTATTTCGCTGTCGACAATGACGAGGACAACAGCATGGGCTGTTTTTGACGTTGTTGGCTGTCAAGCTATTGCCTTTTATTGTTGTTATTGTTTTTGTTCTTGGCTTTTGATTGCTGTCACTGTTGTTGAATATTAAGCTTGCGTATGTGTATCGGGGAGACCAGCTGTAATATTTCAAATTGGAATTCATAATAACAATTTTCAAAGGCATTTAATGGAATTTAACTTTTATTACTTCAGCCAAACTTTGGGGATTTGTGAATATATCGGAATTATTTACAATTTTTTTTCAAATATCAGTCAAACAACACATATCAACACATGTCAATGATATGGAATCAAAAAATTTGAAGTAATTCACAAAAAATTGGTATTTTTTGGGAGTTCATAATTACAAAGAGAAAACAATTAAAAAAAGGAAAACAATTGTTAGAAGTCTTTCAAAAATATAGTTGAGAGTTGGGCTCTTTTAAGGAAGGTTGATCTAATGCGGCATTTAAAAAAATATTTATCCAAATAAATACCGAATTTATTTTTATATGACGGGAACCACCATCGTGATCCCGTCAAAGGACAAAATACGCAACCATAAAACGTACAAAGACAATTTTCAATACTACCCAACCCCCAGTTCTGAACAATTAAGTAATAACAATAATAAAATATGCCCACTAACTTAAAGTATGGATAAGAGTATGTTTCCCACGCAGTGCAGTCTGATTCTATTCTTCAAAATTCACAAAAAAAATATTTACCTCATAATTAGTAAAGGAAGATCAAAAGTCGGGCGCGACCAAATATACCATACCCTTCATCGTATGTATATTTTGTAGAGCAACCCGTAACAAATAAACGCTTATATTGGGAAGTTATGCGAAATATATCATAACAACTATGAACCTTTTTTGAATGCATATTGTGGCTTTAAAGCAGTTATTATTTGGAATCAGATGGAATAAATATATGGTTCTCGATTTGTACCTTTCGTAGAAAATAACATTTCTAAAGAGTGCATTATGTGACTTTAAGACTTTATATTCAACCAAAAGTCGAGCGGGCCGACTATATGATACCACACGCCACTATGCGTATTTTGGGAGCTTTTGAATAAGTTTTGATTTATTCTAATTGGTCACCTTTGGCACGAATTATAGCCTTCAAATGGCCAATAAAACCGTCACACGCTGCATGTTTCTCTGCGGTAATCCCGGCGAAGCGCTTGCTTGATTGAGGTGATCGACACTGTGGTATATTTTAGTGCCAACCTTGCTTTCCAAAATACTCCAGACACAAAAGTCCAACGGATTGGTATCCGGAGTTTTTGGTGGCCATTATGCGCTGGAAATTAAGCGAGCAACCTTTTTTTGTAAGCATTCTTGGGTGGCGCGTGCTCAGTGCGATGGTCCTGTTGGCAAATAAACTCGATCATATTGTTTGATTACAAACTGCTGGACAACGAATGTTTTCTCATCGGAGAAAACCAAATTCGGCAGTTCATCACTTTCGGCCAAGCGAAGCAACTCTTTAGCACTTTTGATTCAATTTTCTTTCAGTTGCGGTGTAAGTTCTTGCACTTTTTGGAATTTCAATGGCTTTACTCCGAGCTCATTTTTCAATATTTGCCGAATTGAAGTTTGCGATATGTTCGGCGAACGAGCCATTTTTGGCCACTGCTACGCGGGTTTCGATCAAGTCGCTTCTTTACTTTTTGCTGATGTTGCTGTTTTATTCCGTCCACTTCCTTGACGTCGGACTACGCTGCCAGTATCACGGTAACGAGCGATGGTACAAGACACAAAAGATTTATTCACATTTAAATGCTGAAGGGCTCTAACGATAGCCACTTGTGGTCTTCCAGCCACATATAAAGAAATCATACTAACGCGCTTGAATTCCATCACTAATAACTTTTTTTCTGGAAAATTCTCATCAAAACGAAAATCCGACTAATACTTTTAATTCGTTTTTTCATTTTTTTTTATTTTTGGAAATCGGGTGTAGCTTTTGTTGACTGGCACATACTATTGAAACCAGAAGGTGCCAATATCCTCCTCATCAATTTTCGTGAACCAAATGGCACGATAATATGCCATTTCTTGCCATTCCTTGTTCATTTTCGAATAAAAATTACCCAATTGTCTCTAAGCCAAAATTCGCAGCAAACAGCGACTCTTTTTTTGGTAGATCGATTTTCGAATGTAAGTGTGCGGATTTTTTGTGTGGCAAATGCGACAATTTTCTTGTTTACATACGGAGATGACGAAACTTCTCTTCTTTCAAAATCCGTACGCAATTTTTACACAGGTTTTGCAAATTCTCAAAATAATGTTTCAATATTTCTCGGAGTTGTTCAAACGTATATACAACCATATTGGTTCTTTGGAAGGATAAAACTAAAAATCTTTAATGATACCCCACACCACAAATTAGTAAATATCCCCGTCCCAAATGAACATTTATGTAGGGTATTTATTTTAAGTAGATCATACACCATGATAATTTGAAACCGAAAGGAACTAATACATTGCATATTCCACTCTGGATAGACTCCACTAAATTTTATGTTAGTATTTGTGTCTCTCGACCTTGAGTACCCTTAGATTGAAACATATATATATCGGAGCTATATCTGAGCCTATTTTCCCCAAAATCTATCCTATTTGAGTTAATATTACACGTGTGCACCACAAGCTTGATATCGGATGAAGATATATTTGGGAGCTATATCCTAAACTAATAGGACCATCTTGTATGAGAATCCTCAAAAGTAACATTGGGTTTGGTTTTCCATGTTACAAACAAATGCATACTCTTTAGACAGCATTATCACCGGAACACAGTATGGTTATGTCAATGTTATATGAGATTTATAATCCTTAAGAAATCTCATGTGCTATATTTAAAAAAATGACTCAAAATTGATTTTAATAATATTTACATGTTATTTACAAAAAAAAAAACGGATTGTTCAACAAAGGACACGTGTCCTTAATAAAATACAATGCTAAAAGGAAATAATGCTGCAAAGATTTGTTTACATTCAATCGTGTTACAAGCGAAAAATTCGGTATTTATAACATTGCGTGGCATAAAAAGAATTACGTTTCTCGGGATATGGGATTATTATGTGAATGTGTATATTAAGTGTATAATTTTTTTTTTTTTTTTTTTTTTTTTTTTCAATGAAAAAATATACGAAAGAGGCGGTATTTTATATGTGGTATTATATAAGGAAATAAAGAGCTAAAATGAAATGAAAAACCTGAATGAATAGTGTTAGAAACAAAAATAAAAAAAAAAAAAAAAAAAAACAATCAGGAGTATAGATTATCAATGTGTAAAATCTATTTTTATGCATAATAAATGAAAATTGTTTTATTTAATTTTATAATTATGCTCGGTGAAGAGATCGAAAGTGCTCTTAATAATATATTCTGACTCTTTCATAAAAAAAAATATTATTATTGCACAAAATTAACAATGACAAAAATAGGAACAGATATGCAAAATGTGAAAGTGTAGTGCTTTTAAATACTAATTATGGAAAATAAATCATGAAAAATCAATTGATATAAATACATATATAAAACATTACTGGATATTTATTGCAAAAAATAAAATAAAGATTTGAGTATATTTGAAAAAAAAATAATACCTCATTAATGCCACAGCACGAAAATTCTAGAAACATACTTTTCAATTAAAAAAAAAAAATGAAAAAAAGAGAAATGCCATTCTTGACCGATGGAAACTGTAATTTAGTTGTACAATTGAATGTGTGAAGCAACATTTTCAGATTAAAATGTTAAAGATTATCATTGCATATCTTCTTCTTCTATATCTATAAAAGAGGAAAATGTATGTTTGTTTGTAATTTATGGACTTGAAAACCGCTGAACAAATTTTCCTGAAAGTTTACATGTATATTGCAACATCGCCTGAAAGTAACATAGGCTATATACATTTTTGCAATCAGAATGACTGGATTTTGATTAGAAAATAAATTAGTCAAATTATATAAAAATCGGTTCAGATTTGGATATAGCTCCCATATATATTTTCCGCCGATTTCACATATTTGATACACAAAACACGATACGTATTTCCGAATCCAATGAAATTCGCCATGAGTGACTAAATTTGGTACAAAAATAAATTTGACGAATTATATTCAAATTCGCTCAGATTTGATTATAGCTCCCATCTCGGCCAGAAAAAAATTGCCAAATTATATTGAAATCGGTTGTGGTTTGGGTATAGCTAACATATATATTTCGGCCGACTTCATAAATGTTATGTACCAAACAATATATATATGTCCGATTCCAATGAAATTCAGAATGTGTGGCGAAATTTGGTTACAATAATAAAAGTGATAAATTAATTGGAAATTAGTTAAGATTTGGATGTAGCTCCCATATATATATTCTCGGCCGATTTCACATATTTGACGCACCAATTTCAATAAAATATGAAAGTTGTGGCGGAATTTGGTGTAAAAGTAAATTTTTTAAAATTATATTTAAATCGGATCAGATTGGGATATGATCGAATTCACTAATTGAAATAGAAATGCCACTCAACTTTAAAAAATTGCCGTTTCCTGCACGCTTGGTATCTGCTATGAAATATATAAATCCAAAGGACAAACTCCTCGTGTATGCATGTCATGTAACTGCTTTTCTAATGGTTTTGTTTATTAATGCATTAAAGTAGCGCAATATATATATATATTTTTAATTTTTAAATTTGTTTTTTTTTTATCCGTAAATAAAATTCGTAAATAATTCGTTTTGCCGACAGAGGTATACCCTCCTCCTCCAATGTTCGATTATTTCAATATATTTTGACTTCCGTTATGATTATTCAAATTGTTGAAACTCTATGGAGTACGTTCCGAAGGAATGAGCCAATATTGTCCATTTCTTATCGGGCCTAAATAAATATGAAATAAATACTGCGCATGTCAGGTTTGAACTATATCGACGGATTCCTTTACTTTATATGAGGTGTGTCATAATTTTTAGAAAATTACAGAGATGTATATCACCTGTTAAATTAAATGTGATAATTTTTGCAAAATGTTAAAATTTGCATTAGGTGCCAGATATAGTCAACTGAAGTATTCCATTTTCATACTTCATTTAATACAGCTAAAAATATCACAAGAAAATCGAAAATATATATCTAATTTTATGCGAAGTCATAAATTTTATATTCATCTCCGGTTACTGGTTGGAAAAAATATTTGGATATAGCAAGTTGTAAAGTATCGCTGAGTTGTTTCACAAGTTATTACTGATAAAAAAATTGTGTAATAGGTATCAGAAGGGGTTCGCAAATATATAGTATCTTCCAATCAGATCTTGTGTTAGCAAATATTTCTATGTGTAAAATTTAAAGAGAGTTAACTGCTTATTTCGCTTTCTTTGTCCTGAAACGGATTTGGTCCAAAGAGACCTAGGGTCTAAAACCGTTATTTCGACTAAGCACGTTTTGACCTATTATATTATGCATACCTTCTCTAGCCATATGGCTGAGGGTATAAAAAAACGTTAACATTACAGCGTTTGACTTTGTTGCAGTTTTGTTATCTCACCCTGTACATAAACAAATCAGAGATGGTAACTTGTTTTCCATGTAGAGATGGATATGTTTATTTGAAATGATGGACCTTTTTATACCCTCCACCATAGTATGCACCAAATATATAAGTTTGCACCAAATATATAATATATTAAGTTTGTCATTCCGTTTGTAACAACTCGAAATATACATATTAGACCCCACAAAGTATATATATTCTTGATCAGCATAAACTTCTATGTCGATTTATAAACGTCCGTCCGCCTATCCGTCTGTCCGTCTGTGGAAATCACTCTAGCTTCCGAACGAAATGAAGTAGGTTGATAAAATTTTACTCAAAAGTGTATTATGTCTGCAGGACTTTTGGTATTAAAAATGGGCTATGTAGGTCCAGGTCTTCCTATAGCCCCCATATAACGGTACCTCCCGATATTCGGTATTTTGATGATTTTAGCAACATTTATCAACTGGAATTGTTTCAAATTTGGTATTTGAAGTTCGTAATGGATACTACAGCATAAAACAGAAAATGGGTCATGTGGGTCCACGTCTTCGTATAGCCCCTATATAACGGAACCCCCGATATTCGATATTTGGATGATTTTAGCGACATTATTTCAAATTTTGTATTTGAAGTTCGTAATGGATAGTACAGCCTATGACAGAAAATTATCTGTGCAGGTCCACATTTTATAACCCCCATGGCACCTTCCTATATTCGGTATTTTTATGATTTTAGCTACATTATTAACAGTTTTTTTTCAAGTTTCGCATTTGCATATTACGATGGCTAGTGGCAAAAGTTGCCTATGCAGGTTCACATCGTCGTATAGACCCTAATATACGACTACATTCGGTATTTTTAATATTTTAACAGCATTTTTGTTGATATTTTTTTTTTTTTTTTTTTTTTGAAAATTGTTGAATTTGTACCAAATGGTGGAGGTTATTCAAAGTTCGGCCCGGCCGAACTTACAGCTTTTTTACTTGTTATTACTACAATCGGTTCTTCATAGAAGACATAGCTCTACGTTTAAGTATGTTATCATGTAAATGTATTTTCCGGTTCCAAGTATTTGGAATAATTCCCGCTCATAAGAATAAGCGAAATTGTTTGGTATCGCTATATGTAATACCTTCAGCAAATATTGAATACCAATTTCAATTTTGTATAAAAATTGGCTTAAGTAAATAAAAATACATTTAATACGACTTTGCCATTGTGATTTCTATTCTCAATTTTAGTTTCGAATCCAGGGTTGCGCACCAAAAAAGCATTTTCCAAAATGGGTTATATCGTTTCGAAATTTTAATAGATATCTTACACATTGGTTACATATGATTTCGGAAAACGAATATGATTTGGATTATAATGAATTGAGTTTCAAGCGTAGAACAGCATTTAGCACGACTTAACCATTTTTTACTATTTTCCTTCTGTTTTTTTTTTTTTTTTTTAATTCTCATATCTTGTTTGTTTTATTTTCCTCCCAACCAAATGACATTAAAAAATAACAAATGTTTTTTTTTTTCTCATTTTATTTTACAGTGATTATGGCCATGGTCTTGTCCAGAGTATGACAAATAAAACAACAACAATAACAGCAACAAGAATAAATAAATAAATACAAATAAATCCAATGAGAACATGAAAAATTAACATGTTTGCAAATGTACGATTTAAATGAATCAACGAATGAGGTGGAAAAAAGAAAAACCGCAACAAGGAAAAAAATATCAATTTATATGCATGGTTGGCAAATACAAATAAAGCCATCTAGTGTATGTGTGCTGGTGAATGTATGTGAGTGTGAAAGTGTTTGTGTGTATATGAGGTTAAACTCAAAGTTAATAAAAATTTAATGTAATTAAAGTATGATCAAGTGTAAAACAACAAGCTATGGTGACGAAAATTGTGGAAACGAGTCTTTAATGTGTTGAAAAAGTAGTGAACCGAATTTTGAGAAAATAAGAGATAATAAGGGGAGTGACACGGTGTGTACTTATTTAATTTGTTTGCAGTGTTGGTATCATATGTCACAGATGACAATGAGTGAAGGTTAAATTGTGGTTTGCTGGCATCGAGGGCATAAATAATTTCAAGGAAATTGGCCACAAAACATATTTAAATAATTTTGAAGCTCAAGAAATAAAAATCATTAATTGTGTCGAAGATTTTGAAAAAAAGTGCATGGTTTCTCAATTTAATAAAAATACCCAAAGTGAAAAAATCCAAAGAGAAAAGTGAATACTTGAATCCCCTGTAGTTATGACCACCTTATTTTGTAATTAATTAAAAAAGCCCCTGCCAGGGGAAATTGTGTTGTACACTTGTGAAAATGCCATACCTAGCCTGAAATTCAACCCTTACAGGTAGCAAATAATGTTCCGTGAAATTTATACTAATTACGGAAATAAACTTTTCATCTCCCAGCAATTGCTTGCAAAGTAATTTGTAATTTAATCTGGCCAAGTAAACAGCTTGCCATTCCCCCACTCCTTTTAAGATGGAAATATAGCGTTTAATTAAAATGCATTGCATATAAGTGTTACATTTAATAAGCACAACGGCCAAACAAGAAATAAGAAATTAATTCGGTGCGGGAAGAAAGTACAAAAATGTATTCACAAGTGCTTAAGCAAGAAACGAAACAAGAAATAATAAATTGAGGAAAATCTTTCAAGCAGAGCAGTACAAGTTTTTCAGGAATGAAAAGTGTAAAGAATGAAAAACCATTTATAATTAAGTGAAACAAGTGAAGCCAGTAACCTTTACTCCAAAAAAAGAAAAGAAAGTAATACAAAACAAAATCCATAACAAATGCAACTGCACCATCATCATCGTCGTCGTCGTCAGCATCACATGAATTTTCGCAGCTTTTGATTCAGAATTAACAAAAAACGGCAACGACATTAACATTGTTCTTCGTTCCACAAGAAACGGCAAAGGAAGTGCAAAACAAACACATACACACACGCAAAACATCCCTCATACACAATAGTGCCACACTGCCATCATCGTCCTCGTCGCCCCCTTAACCAACCAACTTTCTCTCCATTGGAGCATTAAAAGTGTTGAGTTTTTATTTCGCCATCATCTGCCGCATTTGGGTGTTGTACACATCTTAAAACGAGTTTTCTTTCGTTAACTTTTAACATCTACATTGTTGTTCAGTGCCGTTGTTTTTTAACTTTACAACCAAAAAGGATATATTGTCGTTCAAACCCCACCCACCCACCCACCACCTCACCAACGGCGTAGCAACAAAACACTTGTCTTCATTGCCCGGGAAACCAGAAGCAGCATCACCCCCACCACCACCACTACCGCCACCAACGCCAACGTTGTTCCAGTTAAGTTTCTTCGCTCACTCCAAGCAAGAGCAAAAGTTTCCGGCATACGTTTCAACGTTTCACAAAAAGTAAGTAAGACATTTTGTTTTCTTTAAATGAATATTTATGCCAAGAGTTTTGAGGAAGGATTTAGGATGAAGGATACAAATTAGGATTAAGAAAAAAAGGGTTCTTAAGAAATATGAATTAGGTCATCATAAATCAATTTACTTATGAACAGCAATGCTAAGCAAAGGCTATTTGGTGACATTCTTAATCTTCTCTCTCATTTTTTGTTTTCTAAAAAAAGCGTAAGGAATGCTGCATAATTTCAGGCGACATTTTAATATTTATACCATGGTAGAAGAATATAGGTAGACGCGTCGACACAGCTGCTGGGACAATGAACTGTCAAACCAATTTTGGAATTTAAATTGTTGAATGAAAAATTATTTAAATTTGTAAAAATTATTGAAAAACGTGAATTATAAAAGCCTCCGACTGACGTAGTATAAGAAAACATATAAAAATCTACTTATATTTGAAAAAAACATTTAATTTTTTTTGACATATCAATGCTCCCAAGCGTTGATGCATCTACCTGTATTCTTCTGCCATGATTTATACCCTACACCACAAGGAGGTCAGGGTATTATGTCTTTGTGCATTTGTTTGTAACAGGCAAAAGGAAACGAAATAGACCCATAGTTCCTTTTGATGATCTGCATGGAATCACAATCTGAGTCGATTTATGCATGTCCGTCCGTCCGTCTGTCCATGTATTTTTGTAAACAAAGTACAGTTCGCATTTATTGTCCAATCCAGATAAAATTTTGCCCAAATCATTTGTTTGGCTCAAGGACGAACCCTATTGAAATTGGAGATAATCGGTTAAAATTTAGATATAGCTCCCATATACATCTTCGTCCGATTTGCCTTTTATTGTGCACCAAACGTGTAATGTGTCCGTGTCCGAATAGTATGGAATTTTGTACGTACGATCAGATTGGACCTGAAAATAAATATGCCAAAATTGATCGAAATCGGTTCAGATATAGCTATAGCTCCCATATATATTGGTCATCCGATTTGTTATTTTTGTCTCCGCAGCCATAATATGCACTCTGTAACAACAATATTTGGGGAAATATATCAAATACAGCTCAAAAATACATTTGCTAAATTTTATCGAGATCGGTTCAGATTTGGATATAGCTCCCATATATAACTTCGTCCGATTTACCTTTGATTGTGCACCAAACGTGTAATATCAGTCCGAATTGGATGAAATTTGGCAATTACGACCGAATTGAGTCTAGAAGGTAGTATGTCAAATTTGGTGAAGATCGGTTCAGATATAGCTATAGCTCTCATATATACTGTTCATCCGATTTGTCATATTTGTTACCCACAGCCGTAATATGCACTCCGTAGCAACGATATTCACGGAAAAAAATATCAAATACAAATTTTAGCTCCCATATATATTTTTATCCAATTTCAAAATAATTGTGCACCAAATTGGCAATACGAATTTAAATTTTAAAGGTACAAATGCTTCGGCATATTTAGTCCTTTGAACTTTAAATTATAATTATAATCATAGGGTGAATTCTTCCATAAAAACTTTTAATTGTTATGCGGAGCTCTACTAAATTAGCAAAGTGGTGTAGGGTATCATAAAGTCGGCCCCGCCCGACTTAAAGACTTTTTTTACTGGTTTATATCTGATTATATTTTCCTAATATGGTAACGAGGATTCTAAAGACTAGTTTACACATAATGTTAGAGAGACTTTTTCCCATTTACATTTAGAATTTTTATAGCATGCTTTAAAACGCTTCTTGTCAAACTGTCTGTCCAATGATATCGAGATTCCTAAGAAAAATAAACAATATTGGGAATACCAAAATATTTAGTATTTACAATGGACGGGGTTAATATACGTTTAAATATATCGCACATATAACCGTACCTCGTAATTTTCGCCATTTTAAATATTCTAGACAAAATTTCTGACCCAAATCAACTGTATTTGCTTTGTTTCCCTTGTCTCATTTAATAAGGTTTATTCCCTTAAAAATATTGTCATAATAGGTTCACATAAGAATTTATTGGTTTTAGACACATTTATTTTTAGACTAAATACCGTCGTTCATGCCAAACTTCATTGAAATTTGACACACACAGATGTTAGGTGAATTAAATACACAAAATGAGCCAACTATATCCAAATCTGAACCGATTTCAATATAAATTGACAAATTAATTTGTAGACCAAATTCCGTCAAACATTTAATTTCATTGGAAACTGATGTTTGATGCATCGAATTTATGAAATTGGCCAAAAATAAATATGTACCGATTTCAATATAATCTAACAAATTTATTTTTGTTACAGTTTGAACCGTTTGTTTGTTTTGAATTTGTTTATTAGGAGTTTGCAATTAGGACTGCTCCCAATAAGAGAAAATTGCCAGTGCATGTGTTTTTGATAAGTTCGTAGTGGGCATCGCCTTCCCTAGCATATGATTGGCTCTAGAGATATAGATATAGTATAACAGTAACGCCTTTAATTCGGAATTTTAACAGTTTTAGCGACATTTTTCAAAGAAGTCTCTTTAGTTTATATAAGTTCCTTGAAAACTGTGGAGCGTATTAAAATGTCGGCCCTGCCGAACTTAGCTCTAAAGTAGCCTACATATAAATGTTTAGGCAAATCGATTGGAAAATGTGGTCAAACCTTCAAATAAGAGGTAAATTTATATGATTCCTACTCCGAAATATTGTCCAAAATGAAAATATTTTGCGAAAAGGGTTTCTGCCACTTTAGAAGCCAAGACCCTCGAAATATCTAAAAGCGGGGGATACTTACATATAAGGCTTACACCAAAATATATTATAGAATAGAATTAAAAAAATTTGCCGGAATTGGTATAAACCAGTAAGGAAAAGTCAAAAATCGGATTTGGCCGACTATATGCATATTTAGCCGAGCTCCCGTAACAAATTAATTTTTTTGAAGTAGATCATACCACCTATCAACAATTGCCTATAAAGCAGTTATAATTTGGTTTCAAAGGGAACTAATATATAAGAGGCATATCCAATTCTGATATTATATTTTTTATATCAAATAATATTGCTATAGATTGCATGATATCACTTCGAGAAGGATCATATTAAAATTCACTCCATTTCGGCTAATATTACCTATTACTTGTACAATAAACCTGAAATCGGATTAAGGATATATATGGGAGCTATATCTAAATCTTAGCCAATCTCGATAAAATTTGCCAAAGGTATTTCCGAGCTATATAAGATATCTGGTACCAAATATAATTCTTTAGGAGTGAATATTGCGAATTTGAGGGCCTTAAAACCCCAAAACGGATGTAAATTTGATGTACTTCCTTCTGGATTGAATTCGGTCGGATGTGCCAAAATTTACTCCATATGGACTGATAATTACCATCTGGTGCACAATAAATGAGAAATCGGTTGAAGATATATATGGGAGCTATATCTAAATCTGAACCGATGTTGATACAATTTGGTAAAGGTATTTGTGGGATGTATCTGATATCTGGTACCAAATATAATTCTTGTGGGGTACATATTACGAATGTGAGGAACTAAAAACCTCAATTTGGATAAAACAGATAAGTGGGAGCTAAAGCTATAACTGAACCGATTTTCACCAAATTTGATGTATTTGTTTTTCTACAAAATTCGTTCGAATGTGCCTAAATTCAGGTCATTTGGACTGATATTGGCCATTAGGTGCAATATAAACCCGAAATCCGTTGAAGATATGTATGGGTGCTATATCCAAATCTTACCGATCTTGCTACAATTTCGCAGTGGTATTTGTATCTGATATAAGGTACCAAATATCATTCTTGTGTATTACGAATGTGAGGAACTCAAAACCTCAATTTAAATGAAACATATATGTGTGAGCTATTGGTATGATGCTTTCTTCGTGGAAGGTGCCATAAAATTAACAAGTAAAAAAGCTGTAAGTTCGGCCGGGCCGAACTTTTAATACCCTCCACCATTTGGTACAAGTTTGACAATTTCCAAAAAGATAAAATAAAATCCGTTAAAAATTCTGTTAAAATCTTAAAAATACCGAATGCCGACGACGTGGACCTGCATAGACAGCTTTTGTTTGGAACGATTCCGTTAAATAATGTCGCTAAAACCATCGGCCGGGTCGAACTTTTAATACCCTCCACCATTTGGTACAAGTTTGACAATTTCCAAAAAGATAAAATAAAATCCGTTAAAAATTCTGTTAAAATCTTAAAAATACCGAATGCCGACGACGTGGACCTGCATAGACAGCTTTTGTTTGGAACGATTCCGTTAAATAATGTCGCTAAAACCATCAAAATACGGAATATCGGGGAGTACCGTTATATAGGGGCTATACGAAGACGTGGACCTACACAGATTATTTTCTGTCTTAGGCTGTAGTATCCATTACGAACTTCAAATGCCAAATTTGAAACAATTCGGGGAATAATGTCGCTAAAATCATCAAAATAACGAATATCGGGAGGTATCGTTATATGTGGGCTATATGATAACTTGGACCTACGAATTTAACCTGCCTACTGGCAAAATATACATGTGTGCAAAATTTTAGCCTTCTATCTCAATTTGTTCGAATGATAGCGTGATTACAACAAACAGATAGACAGACAGACAGACACACAGACAGACAGACGGACATGGCTAACTCGTCTTAGAATTTTACGCTGATCAAGAATATATATACTTTGTTGGGTCTGACATGAGTATTTCGAGGAGTTACAAACGGAATGACAAAATTAATATACCCCCCATAGTATGGTTGAGGGTATAAAAATTAATTTGAGAACTACAAACTCATTTTGAGTATTTTTACTTGCTCCGATCCCCTACAAAGGAAGTTTTAAACCTTGTTTTTAAAAATACCTTAAAAAGACCCCTTTGTTTACTCGATTAAGGATTAAAATGTTGACCAAAATATGCCCCTTTATTTTACATTGCGCGTATTTACCCAAAATACATAGGTTACTTTGCGATGTAAACTTTC